AAAAAAACATTCACTTACGTTAAAAAAACATTTAGGAACGATTTCGAAGGGGAAAAACTCTAAATTACTGATTACAAAAATAAAAAAACAAAAAAATATTATGAAGGTGAATCAGCTCCCATTGAATAAGCATTTATAAATACGAAAAAAATATTGAAATGAGGAAAATTCGAGGAGCAAATGAAAAAAACATTTTTATATACCTCGAAAACCTAGCTTCAGAAAAAAACAAATAATGGATAGAAAGCAGAAATTTTTAGAAAAAAACCTCGTATGGCGAAATTTTTTGTTTAAATCTGAAAAACCATCAAAAAAACTAGAAAAAAATATATAATTTAGATGATGCATATATCAAAATCATTAAACTGCATCAGCAAATTCAATTTGGCTCTAATTTACACGAAACCGGTTTCAAACTACGTCAAAGGAACTAGATAATAACTTTTTATTATTAACTGATTAAATTAAAAACTATAGTTTCCGAAATAGAGTGACTCTTTTCATGTCGCGAAACAGATTTCAAAAATTTTGAAAAAAATTAGGACTTTTTAGAAAAAAATCTTCAACTCTTTTGAGAAAAAAAGTTAAAGATCTGAAACTGGTTTAGAAAAAGTGCGCAATTTAATGCTCCACAAGATGTACCCATAGAAAGGCGGATCACATAAATGCAAGAAATAGAAAAAAGTAAAAAACCAAGAAAAACAGTGAAGAAATTCAATTTTTGCATCAGAAACCATGAGAAGGGCGCAATAATGCGCCACGGATAATATGCCGCTGGGACCCAAAATTTCGCATTTTTTTTCATTGCGCGGAACACCGTGTTTGTGGATTGAGCTGAGAATGAAATGTTCTGGATCGGCATGCTGGAAAGTGCGCGCTGTGCGCACTCTTTTCTCGTGCGCACGTAAGGAAAATGCGCACTCTTTTTTCAAATTTTGTACAGGAAATTGCGCTCTCTTTCTAACATCAGGAAAATGCGCACGGTGATTCCGCTCTTTTTCTAGATTGAAGTCCGCATAAATCATCTCACTTTTTGTCTTTGTCATGAAGAAGTCTTTCAGCTAAAGATGTATTGAACAGCTTTTTGATTATTTGAAATTTTTATGGAGAATATTTCTTATCAGCGAATGATGTGCGGTCACTTCGGAATGAGATCAGGTGTAGTTTTGCAAAAAGTGAGATGCTCTCTTTTGAGACCAAGCTGATTTCAAGCTTGGTCTCAAAAGCTGCCGCGAAAATCTGCTAAAAAAGTGAGGGGCTCTCAAAATATACAGATGTTGTCAATCTGATAACATTAAACAATACAGAGTGGAGGAATAATTACAGCGACAAAAGTTTGTAGGATTAGTTCTCGCCGACCCGAGCTTATTTTTGTTCCAGTCATTATTCCTACCTATATATAATATGATGACCGTCGTGCCACGCTGATTTTTCAAAAAAAGTCGTTTCTGCCTTTTTGGGCGTTTACGGAAAGGCAGGCAGGCTTGGCAATGAAAAAAAAATGAAAGCCTAAAGCCCGGCCTTTAGGCGTTCATTTTCAATTTCAAAAAAAGCGCGAGTTCAAGCCAGAGATTCGAGAAAAAAATTCTCACAGAAAAAAATTATTTTTTTACATGCTGAATCACAGTTTTTTTAATAACTCAATGAGGAATAATAAGCAAAAAAACCCCGATTTTTCTCGTTAAAACAGCGAAAAAAATTCGACATGAAGAAAAATTTGAGCTTTTTTTGAGCCGGGCCGAACCACCAAAAAGTTCTTTCAGTGATTTTTTTACAGCCAAGTACAACATTGGATCTTGAATCAAAGATATTAAATTACGCATCAAGGCGGTTAGAAATGGAGTTTATTGCGACCTTCAGATATTATTCGATAAGGTTGCCTTGAAGCTCAATTTGAACGTAATTTTAAGGTTTCGATTCACAAAACTGGTAACGATTCACGTTTATGTAAGCGTGTCAACTGGAAAAAGTCGAAAAAAGCTTTTAAAAAACATGAAGGAAATTTTTCCGAAAAATAGAGGTGTGCCTCCACTTGGCACGCTGTTTGGACGCTCTTCATAGGCGAATCGAGAAAGGGTGTCGCGAGACCCTCTGAGGTTCATCGCAGGGTCTGAAGTCTCGCGATGGTACCTCTGAGGACTTTGAGCAAAATTAGTGAGACTAGAGAGAGACTCTCAAGTACCCCCGAGATGCCTCAGATATAGCTATAAGGTATGCCGGAGGTCCCACGATGGACACGTTATGGGGTCTACACGATCCATTTTGAGAGGAATTTTTGCGGAAAAATCAAGGTGCCCTTCTGATTCGTCTGTGTTTGTACAGACAAAAAAAAGTACACCATCGAAGCTGTCAGAGTATTTGCAGCAACACTCAGTTGCTAATATTAATGATTGGGCTATTTTTACTATTCTTGCATTCGAAATACGTCATTTTGCTTGAAACTTCGTAAAACGGCAAAAACTCAGCTTTTTTTCGAGTTTCTGTAAGAGATGAGGTCAACTCAGAGAGCAGTAAACAAGATAATTTCAAAGGTGTGTGCCTCGTTCGTGATATGAAAACCAAATAGTTCGAAAAAAAATTAATTAAAAAGAACGGAGCGCCGGCGATTCGATTCGAGGTCAAATAGGCTTACTAGAGAACTTCGCGAACTCGTATTCGCGGATCGAGTTCAAACTTTAGTGGTTTGTAGACCTGAGCCAGAATACATGAAAACAAGATAGAATACCTGTTAAACCGGATAGAGAACTAAGAAAAAAAATTTGTAGAAAATGCGCAGATCAAGCCTGAAAAATTTTTCAGAACACTGTGTTTTACCTTATTTCATATTTCAATACAATCGTCTCGAATGACCCAGCTATAATAAACACTTAAAACTCTATTCCAGCCAGAAGGAGAAAAGCAGAAATTTGATAATTTTCAAGCCGAAACGCAGTTAACTGTTCATTTTCAAAACGCTTTTTTTCAGTACCTTATGGGGTTTAGCAGATTTTATTGCCTGTTTTAAGTACCCTTACTTAGATCATTAAAACACCAAAGTTTGAACTTGATCCGTGAATACGAGTTCGCTTAGTTCCCTAGTCAGCTCAAGCCAATTTTTGAGTCCTTATCGGAAAAGGTCTTATCCGGTTAGAAGAATGGAGTCTTGTTCTTTTTCTGTTATCCCATTGACTCCATTTTTTTTGAGAAACTTCAGTGTGCCGCTTGTAACAGTACACACCAGTTTTTCCTACTGACTTTTTGGCCGCTCTGCTCAAAAAAATTGTGGCAAAACTGATCTCGACCATCTGCGTGCCGCAGCCGCTACATTTTCGAGCGGCAGTTCATGTTACAAAAAAATATTTTTATGGAAAAACTTTTTTTCGTATTTTTGTGATTAAATCCCTGTAAAAACTTCATAAAAAAATTGTGAGTTTCCGGTCTTTATTGACTATTGACTATTGACATATTGACAGCTCCTTCATTTTTGTTGCAGTAATAATTCATCACCCTGTAAATTTTTCTTCAGAAATTTTTTTCGAGCCTCGAAAGGTCCTTTAGATTTTTATTTCACATATTTCCTTTTTTTAATATAGTTTGTCCAGATTTGGAATGTCAAGCAGCAATCTCCGTCCCAAACAAAGCTCTGTAAGTGGCTCGTTCTATAATTGGTTTGATCTACACATAAGAGGCGGAGTTCGACCGATGACTTGACATTCAAATTCTGAACAAACTATAAACGCCGACTGTGGCATTCAAGTTCTGAAAAAAACTATAAACGCCGACTGTTCGGAAAATAACATTCCAAAAATTTAAAAAAACACATTATTAAGTGAAAGGTAAATCAGTGTGACCAGTTTAGTGACCGCCTGGTATTACTATTTAAAAAAAGATGAATGCTTGAAAAAAATCAGTTATATCAACTTCAAATAATCCGAAAGGACAAAAATTTGATAACCGCGCGCATTTTCTTGATGTTAGAAAGAGAGCGCAATTTCCTGTACAAAATTTGAAAAAAGAGTGCGCATTTTCCTTACGTGCGCACGAGAAAAGAGTGCGCACAGCGCGCACTTTCCAGCATGCCTCTGGATCAGTTGAAATGAACCATTATGGCTGCACCGGCCAGGTAGAGGTAGTGGGTCTCTTTCGGCGACTTGTGATGGAGAGCCGCTTGGGCGGTCAAATCGTCAACGTCAATTCTGTCAGATCTCCTCAGAAGCGCAGAGATTTTGCTCTGAAAGTTAAAACCAATCTTGAGAGATTGGCTCTTTTTCCAAACTTTAGCTTGAGTATACGGGGTAGCGAGGCCAGTTTCTATGTTGTAGACGGTATTGATGGCCAAACCCAACAAATTGACTTCTCCATTTTGTTTCACTGCCTAAAAAAGAACATAGTTCATTTTTTAATAGTTCTTCGGAAAAAGTAAGTTCGCTTTTTTCGAAATTTGTGTATTTTATAGGATCATGAAACTTTGCAAGCAAGAAACTTTTTTCAGTGTATAATCTTATTCGGAAACTATCCTTCACTTTTTTATTAGGCGCAGACTTGTTCTGCGCCATTTGGGTTTAGGATGAGTTGGAAAAATTTTTTATTTCGGTTTCATATATTTTGGTTTAAAACATACCAACTTCCGTCGGAATTCCTCTTTTTCATTCCCGTTTCGCTGACCAGAAGGTGATTCCGGCTGTATAAATTTGTCATTTTGAACTTCCTATAAGCTACAGCCGCTTCCATGAAATATTATTGACTTTTTCACCTTCTCAGGGGTCTCTGAAAAATCCTCAGGCTCTTCTTCGTCATCTACTTCTTCAGCATATTTCCTGGAAGAGAAACCTTTTTTAAACATAATTCCTTGTTTTTGAATTAAGAACCTTTTGATTCTCTCAACTTCTTGCTCATAAGTTTCCCGCGCCCTTTGAAGTGCCAATTGCAGTTCGTTCTTCTTGTCTTCTTTTGTTTGCCGCGTTTTGGACGTGCTGGCGAGCATTTTGACGTAAAATTCCTAGAAATTTGAAGGTAAAAAAAGACGAAAATATGATCGTAAAGAGAAAAAATGACCAAACAACAAATCCTTTGCGAGAAAAACGGAAAAGAAATTTTTCTCATTATTCTCTCTAACTCAGACAAATCCGGAAGGTTCCATACTTTTTCTTCTTGTGTAACTGGCAATAATAACTTTATTTTGAACAAACGTGTAAGATCCTACCGCTCACCTTGGGTTTCGAATGAAGAAATCAAATAATCTTTCTTGGAAGAAACTGTCAGAGAAAATGACATCCATATCCAAAAAAAAAATAAATAAGTGAAAATATCTTAAAACTGCTCAGGCACTGACGGCGCGTGTTTGTTGCCGAAAGTGCGCATGCGCGCCGCCTGCTGCGCGCACGCGCGGGGTGTCTCTTTTGTTTTTTTAGCTTTTTTAACTTATTGAAAAGTTATAAATTTAATATTTTTTTCATGTCTGTTCATCTCTTAACATTGCTCTGCACCAGTTTATAACAATTAGATTGCACAAAAATGTGAAATATCAAAGTTTCACTTGGCAACTTTTTTTCATAAATTTGTTCGAAAGTGCTCGGAACAACTTTAAAACGTGAGCAGGGGCACTAGGTTAAATCACAAAAATATGAAAAATATATTTCAAAACCTTATTTCAGTGGAAAAGGCGAAAAAAAGAATCAGTACCCCCGCGCGTGCGCGCACCACACCCAGTTTCGTGGACTATATCGCAGCGAGAGTGGCGCGACATAGCAGCGACATATCTCGCTGCCATCTCGCTCAGCTCTAGCAAACTCCCGGCGCGATATCGGCGCGAGGTCGCGGATTATCGATTGGTCACTATTTACGTGCCATCAAAATTTTACTTGAATTGTTTTTATTTTTTTCGTGTGTTAGATTCTCTCTGATTTTTTTATGTCTACTTTTTTTCACTTAATATTTCTAAAAATGTTAATTTTACAACTAATGTAACGCTCATACAGTACCGTCAGAAAAGGAAAAAAATGTTTTTTTCGCTCACAACTTCCTCGTATAGAGCTCAATCTTTCTGAAACTTTTTTTCAGCTGTGTTTCTAAGTTTTTCACCACGGTGTTACAATCAACGGTCATCATATTTCCATAAAGTTTCAAAAGGGTGAAATCCCATTAAAAGAAAGTTGTGATAAAGAAAAAAAGCTTTTTTTGTATATATTTTGACGGAACTGCACACCTTTCTTGAATTTGAAAGTCCTTTTTTTCCGCATTTTTTTCATGTTTTTAACCAAGAATTTCAGGTTATTAGTACTTCAAAATGGCATCTAACCTTTTTTCGATCAATAAAAAGTCAAGAAAGATCCGTGGGAGATGGCACCGAAACTTTGCTTTTGGATACAATCAATAAGATTCTTGGTAAACTATTTTTTTGAAAACAGTATATCCATTTTTACTTGAAGATATGATTTGCACTTTGGCGTCGATGGGTAAGTAAAAAGAAGAAATGAGGCATGATTTCGAGAAAGCACGTACTGCTGTCTTGATACAGTCGCTCCTGTGAGTTATTCTCTTATTCAAGGTTGGACTTTTTTTCAGTATTTCTCTTTTTAACCGATTTTTATCCTTTAGAAAAGTTCTTGACGCAGCAAATGAAGGATATGCCGAAAACTATCGAGTCAAAGCTTACAGTAACATTTTTTTAAGGGAACTTAGTGTCAATCTGATTGTTTAACTTAATTTTTCTTTTTTTCAAAACTTCTTTCATTTTCATTTCGAGCCTCCCTCCTTTATCTAATTTGAACTTTTTAAAGATCATCTACGAGCTTACAATCGGTTTACTTTTTCTGTTTTTTTATTGAACCTACTCTTTTCCTAGTCACATTTTTTTCCTATGAAAAAAATAAACGATACACATGTTTTTTTCGTCATATTGTCCTTTTTATTCTTACTTGAAGCTTCACTCTTTTCGCCTCAATTCAATCTTCTTCAGATTTGTACATACTTTCCGTTTACTTCGAATTCGAAAATGTATCATCAATTATTTGGAAAAATTTCTTTTAATGCTCTCAAGTTTTTCATTTAAATATATTGTTTAAATTAAATAAAAAGTAAAGAAGGTTGATAAAGATCGATATGTTATCATGTACAACACAATAAAAGTATGAAGCATAGAAAGCAAATCAAGAGCCCAATCGAGCTAAAAAAATTTTTTTGAAAGAGCGACATAGCAGCGAGATGTGAGCGACCTTGCGCCGAGAGGCCAGCGATATAGCTCGCGGCTCCCCCGCGATATAGCGTTTCTCTCGCTGCGACCTCGTCCGTAAAAACTGGGTGCAGTGCCTGAGTG